ATGTCTCAGGTATTACTCCCTCTAAGTGTAGTTTGGTAGGTATAAATGGGTCACCACTATGTATTGTTGATGAGTTCATGGCTGAAATTTTAAATGACGAATTAAATGTTCCTATGAAATTACGGTTCCGCGTAGTGCCCGACCACCAGACGATTAAAAACGATTGTTTATTTGGACGAAATTTTTTGGCTCATAACCGTGTCGATGTACGTATTGTTGATGGGCAGTTCACTATCTCGTTTAATACCACTAATGACAACCGTTTTGACGAAATATTATCGTTAGAATATCATAATGACGATAATAATGGTAATGACATTGATTAATGTCATTACCATTATGACGTGAATTTTATTTTATTTATTTATTTTAAGATTAATTGATATAATTTATAAATTATGTTACATATAAATAAATAATAACTTTAATAAGATTTTAGTTCTTAATTGGAAAAAATGCCACCCTAAGTCACGGTCTACCCCTAAATACGTCACTGTTTGGAAAAGTTGTTAACATATAATTACATGAATAATTTTCACACAAAACTTAAGGTAAATTTNATTTCATGAATAATTTTCACAAAAAACTTAAGGTAAATTTTTAAAAGATGGTTTATTACAAGGTGCAAGGATGCAACCAACAAAATAGTTGTTACACGTATTACGAGTTTTAATTAATATTACTGAGTAATCATAATATAATACTATGTTTCAATTTATTTAACATATTAACTGAAAAATGGAAATTAATTTATAATAGTGAATATAATATTTTAATGTTTTGTACTTTTTTTTTAGACAACGTAATATTTAAAACATAAATATTACTTTTTTCTGCACGTGTTCAAACAATAGGGGTAAAAATTTTTGAGTTAATATACATGTATAATACACAAGGGTTTACAAATACAGGTAGCTAATTGGTTTTTTATGACATCGATATTAGCAAGTACACAGCATTGTTATTATCAATGAGAGTAAGGAACATTATTGTGAGTTTATACTCTAACTGACAATACAGAAAGTATATCTATTGATAGTCATAATTGATAATAAGGAATCCGTGACTATGACAGCAATGTCATAAAAATCCAATTAGCTACCTGTATTTATAATCTCTTATATATTATACATATACAGGGTGTTCAGTATAAGGAATGAACTTAAAAAGTGTTACATAATTAATAATTCAAGAATGATGTGTAACTAAAGATAATCGAAAAAAAAATGTTTAATTTATTATTATTCTGTAAGTAATTGAGTGGGTAATGATAAAAAAATCACTCTGTATACAATGTATTTTATGGTTGCATTTTTCAAGTTAATTTTATTACATAATGTGATTTTTGTTTATATTAAGTTTTTTGTGAAAATTATTCATGTAATTATATGTTACAACTTTTCCAAACAGTGACGTATTTAGGGGTAGATCGTGACTTAGGGTGGCATTTTTTCCAATTAAGAACTAAAATCTTATTAAAGTTATTATTTATTTATATGCAACATAATTTATAAATTATATCAATTAATCTTAAAATAAATAAATAAAATAAAATTATATAAATTATATGTAACACTTTATTTTCGAAAATTTAAGTATTGTTGTTTTAAAGTGTACTAATAATTTTTAATTTAACATTTATGCAATTGTAAATACATTTTTTTAGAATTTGTGTAATTAAATTATTTGTATAGTTTTAACGAATTACTTAAAATAAATTCACATCAAATAAATTATATTAGCAAGTTATAAATGTATGTGTTAGTAATAAATTATTGTTATTAAAAAGTAATATATTAATTAAAAATAAATATTAAAATATTAAAAATCAAGCTGTATTAATTTAATTTTCAAAATATTTATTTATGTTATTACAATAAATTGCAAACAATCGTAAAACATAAATGTTCATCGAACAATACCTAGAAGGCCGTATACCTAATGGAACAATAGAATCCGTTTGACGAACGTGACCGTTTGACGAACGTGACCGTTCGAGGAACGTGTCCGTTCGTTGGACGTATTTCGAGGAACGTGTCCGTTCGTTCGACGTATTTCGAGGAACGTGTCCGTTCAACGGACGTATACGTTCGACGAACGGACGATTCAAAAATAGATCCCCAGGTTAGATCGAATCGATCAACCGAGATCAATATACTAAAGTATCTAATCACATATACAGGGTGTTCAGTAAGTCAGGAAACGGGTATCTATTGTTCTCATTGTTACAAACAATGAGAACAATAGAAATACAATACAATACAATACAATACAATATATGTATTACACACGAGTCATTTAAGTATATTATACTTATGACATACCATAAGTATCTATGTTAACATCACCTAGATGTATGAAGTGATCAGTTTTGATTTATTAACAATTGTCTTACTATATGTATGCCTATATACATTATTGAGTATGAACAGCATATACCTTACTACAATTGTCCAAAACATTATTTACTGATAATATTTAATAATTGTTCTACTATATATCTATAATATACACCCGTGTTTAAATAGAATACAACTAGATATTATGCTATTGAACGACGATTAGAACAGAAAGCTATGTGCTCCAATTTTCATAATCCTAATAAATCTTGATTATAGGTATATATATATATATATATGTACAATAGTTTACTATTTCATATGAAATCAATTACTAAGATATTAAAGTGAAAATATTTATACATCAATCATAATATTTAATCAAATTCTTTTGACTATTATTCAGTGACACCGTTGTTTTTATTATTAAACATTAATGTGTAAGCGTAAATGTATAAAGTTTATGTATCACATATTTTCATAGAGGGTCAGCAAATTACAGATCACATATCCCCGTATACTAACCCTTTCCTTTATCACTTAAGTAATTTACTTTAATATCATAATAATTAATTTTAAACTCTCTATTTCTAAATATTTTTATACAAATTTATGTAATAGAGTATGTGTATACATATATTTTATACAATAACGATTACACATTAACAAAAAATGTCTATTGTAAAAATTGTAACTAACTGTTTTGGAAAAATATTTATATTTGTAAAAAGAGGTTGGCGAGGTAGACGGTTGCCAAGGACGCAGAAATGATAGGGGCGATCCTGAGTAGGTTCAGACGTATTTTTTAAAGTATTGATAATATTATCCAGTTTTTTTGTCGGTTGAGCATAAAGTCTTCAAAAAAAAAAAAAAAATACACCGCGGATGGGGCGATAAAAATTTTGCCCCCCTAAGAAAAACTGAAATGACGCCCCTGGTTTTATACAATAACGATTACACATTTACAAAAAATGTCTATAATAAACGCGGTAGTGTGACTGAATAATCAAAAAAGAATTCGATAAAATATTATTTCTAACGTATAAATATTTTATCTATGAAATAGTATAATATTGTACATATTTATTTATTTATTTTAATATCATAATAATGATCACCTTATGATGAGTTTCATCATATCCTCCCTTTCTTATGTATCCCCACATGTAGATTAACCCTCCATACTTGTGATTCATATTTTATACACCTACTTCCATTGCACACAATTCGATAAATAATCCCATAACTGAATATAAATAAATATACACGTAGAAAAAATCAAAAACAATTGGATCTTATCGGCCGATGCAGTACACATTACATTGTAATCAACAATAAATAAAATACCGACCGACCCAATAATCAAAGCAGGCAAAGTAATTAAATTTATTTCAAATAAAATTAGTCAAAATCAGTTACCCGTGTAATACAACCCTTATGAATTAGAGCCAGCACTCTTCGGGTTGGATGGCCTCTAATCAAACACAGTCAACAGGGCAAAACAGATTGAAAATTAACTACAAATTAATAATTAATTAATTAAGTAGTTAATGGCAGTATTAATTATTAATACTGCCATTACCATAATAATAATAATAATATATCTACAATATAAAAATTATATTATTACTATAACTGCTATGAAATTGTCAATAACACGTTTCAATAAGAAATAATCATAAAAGGAATCACAAATATAAATGTAAATCTAACCCTTTACCGGTCCACAAGAGGGATTCAAAATGATAACTTTTTTTTTTTAGTTAAAGGAAATCATTAAAATTAATTCAGTTCTGGATATTTCAATTGTTGAATATTTTTAAATACCAAAAATTACTTAGAAATGATTACTATGATTTTTATTTATATGTTCTATTACGATAAAAATGCAAAAAAATAATGAGTTTTTCTGATAAATATACTGTAAATAGTAATTATAAAATTTCCTGACTGCATATTAATCTTAAAAATAACATTGTTTTAATTCTCATAAAATTTTCTATTTAATGATTCATTCTAGTCAACGAAAGACCAAATTTTTTTTTTTTTTAAAGTAGGAAATTGGTGGATTATTCCAAAAGCAATATCAACTCTTATTTCTATAATTATATCCTGATTAGTAGTTCTTTGATTTTAAAATATAATTTATGAATAAATACTTATTATAGTTTTTATAGCGTTAGTGAGTCTAGTTTCTACCATTACAGAATAAACCCTATAATTGTAAAACATATTCTTATACTTGCAGTGTTATTATGAAAGTTTACTTTATTTATATAACCGAATCAATATAATTTGGAAGGAGGTGCGCACAATGGACCTATAGGGGTGAGTGCATGGGTAGCTCTTGCCCACCTTTATTACAACTAAAACTAACATTAAAAATTATTATACTATTTGAATAAATGCAATGATTATAATCAAATATATAAATAGTAAATATACTAATTCGAAAAAATATTGCATTACCATTTACATGATTGTAATAATAATTAAAGTATAAATTTAAAATTTTGTTTTATTATGAGTCATATTTTTTTTTGGACTTGAAAGAAAAATATCATAAAATATGTTACACGATACATATTAATATATTTAGAATTATAGTTTATTATCATTGTTGTGATTATTGTCATGTGTTAATTTCCTTCTACNTAGTTTATTATCATTGTTGTGATTATTGTCATGTGTTGAATTAAAAAAAATTAATCTTTCCTTCTACGCTTTTCTCGGTCAGTTTGAGGTTGAGCTCGTTTAGATGCATGCTTAGCTTGTGTTAAGAACTGATCCAAACCAAATGGATCTTCTTCTTGTTGATGTTTTTCAAATTGTACAGGACCAGATCGTCCACTTGTTTTAAAATCACGATCAGTTCCACTGAATTCCTTATTTGGAACAAATCTAAAACAAAAATATTTATTATTATAACTATTCGAGGCGTAGTAGGGCCAAATGAACCAAGTACCAAAAACAATATTTATCAGATAAAAATTTTAAGATTAAAAAATTTTCATACCAATACNAACAATATTTATCAGATAAAAATTTTAAGATTATAAAAAAATTTTCACACCAATACTGTGAAAATAATTCAATTTCAATAACTATTTATCAAAATTAAAAACGAGTACCCAAAGATAGAGTTACCAAAGACTTCTTATGGGAAAATGGAATGGTTTTTATTAATTTCCCAGACAAAATCTTTTTGGCACTTTGATCACTTGGCCCTGCCACGCTTCATTTGTACAAAAATAACATTTAAAATTAAAACAAACCTATTTGTCTTAATCTTGTCCAAATCACCCCCATAAGTGTCATCAATATTGGCAGTTGGTCGGTAAATATGATGTGCTAAAGATGACCCTTGCCAGGGTTTGTCATACACATCATATTCTTCATCATCCTTAAATCCAGTATTTATTCCAGAAGTGGAATTTAGTAATCAAGTGTCGTATTCAGTTTCATTTTTTTTATATATAGCTGGCAGACCAAGAGCAATCTGTTCACTGACATCACGGTCTCTAAGTACTTTATTCTTTCGACTGTCAGCATTTCTTGCAAGGTTACGATCTCGTGCCCTATCTTTTTGTCGCTCCATACGCAATTGATCACGTTCACGGGATTCGTCATTCTTTGCACCAGGTAGCCGTATTCCAGCTCTTTCTTCTCTAGCTTTTTGTGCCATAACCCGAAGATGTTCCTCTTTCTTTTCTTTTTCTTTTTGAGCCATTTTCTTTTCTAACTGGGCTCTCATTTCTACTGCCTCGCGAGCTTTACGATCAGCAATATATAGTGCTTCAGCTAGCTTGGCAAACTTTTCATTTATATGGTTTTGCTGAAGACCACGACCATCAGCTGCTAATCTTTTAGCTAGTGAGATTGTATAGCCTTTAAAATTTTTCCAATTTGAAATACAAGGTGGAATTTTCCATTCCTTTTGTTCTTTTAANAGGTGGAATTTTCCATTCTTTTTGTTCTTTTACGGATGTTTTTCTAGTAGGAGAATGCATCAAGGGAGCTGGAGGAGATGGGGGACCACGTGGAATTTTTTTATTTATTTGGAATTTTGGTGGTTCCATTGGATCCTTCTGTGCTTCAACTAACCGAATAACACGCTGTTTGGATCCTGAATTATATTCCTTTCCTTGTTCAGTAGGTGTATAGCGGAACCATTGAACTGGAGCCTGAAAATTGTATTATTATTAATTGTCAGTTAGAAAAAATTTATTTAAAAAAAATTAAACATACAGGTTTGCAGCTCGAACAGGCAATGCAGCATTTATTTTTGATTTTGTAAGTTTTTCTAAGGCATCTTTAGTTCTTTTAGTTATTTTAGCAACTTCCTCCAAGCTTGGTTTTTGTAATGAAGGATCATCTTCATTAAGTATTTCAGATGGAAGCATGTCATGTAGTTTATNAATACTTCAGATGGAAGTAAATCAGACAGTTTAGAATAAATAACTTTATCTTTACTATGACCTTGTTGAACAATAGCATCATATTTTACTTTTCCATCTGAGGTCATTTGAAGTGCAAGAGCATTTGAAATAGTTTCTTTGTTTTTTTTCCCCATATTTAGGGGAAATTGAGCAATTTGTATTTCCGGAAAAGCGCCACCATCTCCGAAATCCTAAAAACAGATATATATATATATATATCGGGTGTACACTTTACGTAGTATTATTCATAAATACATCATGTAAGTTAAAACAATATTTCTGTTGTTTGAATTATAATTAAACAATAATTTCTATCAAAATATTTAGTCATTTAATCTGCAATAAAAAATATCATTAAATGCTATACAATTTTATATAATCAACATTTTTTTTATATAATGTACGAAGATCATTTAAATATAATTGGAGCTTATTCAATGCAGTTCGTCTTGTTATATATCTTGCTTCTTAACCAGATAAAAACTTAAAATTTAAAAAATAAAATAAACATTTCACTGTACATTTATACAGGAGTATCACGAAGATTAAAAATAATGAAATGTATATATTATAAGAAATACAAAGATAAAGAAATGTAAAAAAAATTTCAAGATAACCATTTTGTAGAGTAGATGTTGACAACAAATTTAGTAAAAAATTATCTTATTAATGTTCAGTAAGAAATTATCTGTAGCATTTTAAAGTTGATGAAAATTTGAGTTTTTGTATTTAATTTTACGATATCAAACATTACAATATGAATTGAGAAAATGACAAAAGAAAACAAAATCTTTTCACATTAAATATTAGTTATAAATATGTAACTTTTGCCATGAAAATTATCTGTGCTTGAATGAGCGACTGCAATTGAACAAAAAATTCGAGTAGTAATACTACCCATTTTATAATTCTCATCGGTATTTATTTATTATAAATGAATGATAATTTAAATTAGAGAATGTAAAATTTTGAAAATATCTTTGAGTTGTTGTTGAATAAATATTGATAACATCTAATTAATTTTAACTCTTTGTGTGATTGTATAAGATATTATGATTTTATATTTATTTTGTTTTTAANAGATATTATGATTTTATATTTATTTCGTTTTTAGTAATATTTGATTCTTTATTAAAATATTTTAAATTCTTCAGTTATACCAATTTTTAAATAAATAATATTTATAATAACAAATTATTTTGTTATAAATAATTTGTCCATTTTATAGATAAATGGAGATTATTCAACGCAGCTCATTTTGTTAAACATTTCGCGCCTTCATCTGAATGACACTTAAAATTTATATACTATATAAACTATACTATATTATATGTCTATCTTACATTTTTTTCTTTTATGGACATCTAAAATTTTAATATTACAGATAAATTACAAGATTAAAAGTTTACTTAATTTAGTTACTCCGAAAAACGTTGTTCATAAGTCACAACAAGTTTATTATATTCTAACAAAACCACAGACTTTACTTTAATGAAATTAAAATCAAATAAAATCGAACACAAAACAAAATACTACTACTCGAGAGATTTTACACAAATTAACAGGCACGATAAGTTGGCCATTTTAAATACAACATGTTATACTAAACAATATTACAGTGTGGCCAATTCCGAAAAATACGACTACTTAAAAAAAAAATTACAACACTTTTAATGAACGACTCTATCAGTCACTGTGCTNTTAATGAACGATTCTATCAGTCACTGTGCCGCTGTGTTAGCCGTTTCCACGGTTATTTAATCAGGATGACGGTCGTCACTATATGTTCAATGCTTTAGCCGTGTTAAAGTGGTGTTTAGTTTTTAGTTCGTGAACTAAAAGCGCTAGTAACACAGACTATATGAAAACAAATAGATCACTCGGTCCGAAAACATAACAGTGCTTTGATTGGCAGCAGTCACGTCAGTGTAGCTCCATTTATGATCGAAAAGATTTTTTTATTTTAATTTATTATTAAATAGACATTTTTTATCTAATTTTAGAAAATACTAGTGTATATCTAGTATCTAGTATCTAGTATCTAGTATCTAGTATATCTAGTATCTAGTATCTAGTGTATCTAGTATCTAGTATCTAGTATCTAGTATATCTAGTATCTAGTATATCTAGTATCTAGTGTCTAGTCTCTAGCTATATACTAAAATAGCTTCACCTGGAACAGATTTTACGTTTTTTCTGCTTTAAAATTCCGATTTATTTTTATTGCGGTCTTNCTTTAAAATTCCGATTTATTTGTATTGCGGTCTCCACACAATCTCATATCCGCTATGTTGTATTTCTTTATGCTAATAAGTAATTTCGTTAGGGAGTTCCATAAATTCTTTGAATTACATGAATTTGATTATAGTAATGATTCCTAAGGGAAGGCGTACTTTTAATATACAGAAATTTACTGAACAGGATCTTTATTTGCGGTATGCTGTGTATACAGTTGTGCACGTAAAAATTCTGCTATCATTTTTGGTTTCGAACACTGGTCAAGTGCCTCAATATCTTACCTCTTACTCACAAATATTTTGTTCAAAATCTATTCATGAAACGGGGAAATGTGTTCAATGAATGCTATGGGACATTAGCCACTGAGAAATTTCAATCAAATACCTCAAGTTTAGATTTCAGACAATACGACAAAATGTAAAAACTATAATCGTCGAATCCTAATAATCATAGACGGGAATATTTATTTAAAAAAACATTATAAATGTTGTAATTTTGATTATAAGTAATGTTTCAATAAGTAAACCATTACGTTATGATACTAAATGAAGTTCAGAAATATTGTTCGACTTAATACGTTATCAAAATCGTTTTTAGTTAAAATATAGTTGCAAGCACAACTCGTCTAGATTTAGTGTCGCGTCTAGCGGAATAAATATGATTAGAAGTGTACTTTTGCAGGTATCCGATAAAGACGTTAGGCGCATTTAATCTATACCCGCATTTTATTTCAAAATTTTACTAAACACGTTATATTATTATTATTATTTATATATTATTCTATGTCGTTTCGTGTGTGCGCGTTACGGTACAACGTACAGAAATGTAAGTAGTGTATATGTATTTATTTAAACCCGAACGATACGTTTAAATAATCAACAATTAGTAGTGTAATATATTTCACTTNTAATTAACAATTAGCAGTGTAATATTTTTCACTTTCAGATTTGAATAACAAAAAATATGGCTCTAACCAGCGTTGGCCAACTAATTAGCCAAGTGGCAAAAAAAAAAAAAAAACTGCTTGGTTCAACTACGCATTAATAATAATACTTGTTACTTATTTCATGTATGTAATGTTACACGATCTATTTTATTTTTATTTGACGTATAAAAATTAATTTAAACAGAAAATAACGTTATGAATAAACGATTACTGGTCATTCAATTGTGGCCAATCACTTACAACTGTATTTGTTAAACTTATGAAGCATAGAAATATGTCTTGGTGTGGTATTAATATAAAAAAGTAACATAAGTATGTGTATTGATTATATTGTTTATTTTCTATTGATTCTATTGATGCAAACAATTTTTTATTCTTAGAATTATTAAATAAAATTATTTTCTTTTCAGTGATTTTATTATATCGGGAAAAGACTTTATTGCAAATGTAGACATGGGAAAAAAACATTGTAATGGACTCGGGGAATCATGAGTTGTACAATAGGGAAGTATGCAGTTTTCCACGCAGAAAATAAGCAAGCGTCATCGCTAAAAAACTGATTTTATTTATGTAATAATATATGTAACAATGATAATATTGTAAAAATAAAGCGTTTAATTAAAACCACTTATTTGATGTTTTACTCATTACTTCAATACAATATTTACATAAAAGGGTAAAGCAATATGAGTATAAAAAATATGTAAAAACAATTATTGTGATATTTACATGTAAAATAGTGCAATAATAATAATAATATCACAAACAAAAATGTGTTGTAAAATAAAAATAATTAAAAGGAGTTCATAATAATATTATTGAATTTTTTTATGTAATAAAAAAGTAAAATGTAACTAAGTAAAAATAAAAATAATCTAAATAGCAATGAAACGATAACAGTAATAATAGTAATATTGTGTATTATTATGGTATAATATATTATTCCAATTTATACATTGAATTAATGTAAATTTAAATGTATAAAAAAAAAGGTGTTGAATTCGTATAGAACAAAATTTGCTAACGACATTTCAAACCTAATACATGAGATGAAAGTTATTCATATTAAAATAAAGAAGTCAAAATAAAAGCAAATGTTATTATATTAAACTGTTACTATAGAACAGGCAAAAAGAAAAATTGATTTGTTCAATTGTTCGCCATATAAATGTTATATTTCATTTGAACTTTTAAAGTGAAAAGTTATATAATAAATAATGTATGCGTATATTAAACAATAAAAATCTATATCTCACAAATGGTCGATAATAATATCTAATGAAGCGTAGAATTGCCGTGTATGATAATTGCTATGAATTTCATGTCGATCGCGCATACGTTGATATTATTTTGTCGAAACGTTCGTTGTGTTACCAACGTCCTCCGAGTTATTTGTGTTAATTCATTTAAGTTCTGGAAAAAAAATTGAATGTTAATCAAACAAATAAATATATTATAATATACAAATAAATTTTAATTATAACGTATGACATTAGTTACAAATCCGTGTGGTAAAAAGTGACTCTTCTATCGAGTTGTAATGCAAATATTTTAAAAATTTTACAATATTTTATGTCATGACCATTTGACGGATTCGCATTCAGAGAGAACCACGTGAAGGTTGTCATACAATCTCTCCGCACAAAACGGAAATTTCCCCGCCCGTATAGATGCAATTTGGGGTTCAAATGGCAAATACACAGCACGGGAAAATAGCCGTTTCTAGGGACACACGGAGACACAGGCAGAATATTCGCATAAACGCCAAAGTGGAGATCCGTCGCTGCCGGCATCCCTAAGTGCCAGCAGCAATCGGGCTTCTTGTCCGGACTACGCTAGGTAGTCCGTTCAACAAACCCGATTCACCGCTGTCCAACGCGGACGATCAGGCCACTGAAGGACGGCGATCGCAAGTTTGAGCCAACGGGGAGACAGGCATAAATGCCACAGTCAAGACCCGTCGCGGCCGACACGCAAAGTGCCGCCATAGTTGTCGTTTATTCCAATACTTCCCTGTACACAACGTTTTTCACAACGCACGGCCCGTCCACGGCCGACAAAGTGTACACCCTGATGGAATTTTGGTTGCGCACCCTCGAAAACGCCACGTACAGCTGTCCGTGGGCGAACGGCTGTACCGTCAGCGACAGGCCGACGCGATCGAACGTCTGCCCCTGCGACTTGTTGACGGTCATGGCGTAGCAGAGCCTCACGGGAAACTGGTAACGGCACATGCGGCACGGAATGTCGCCGTCCCCGGACGTCCTCGTCTGAACGATCGGAACGACCGTCTCCTCGGCGTCGAGATCTGTCAACAGTCTAGCTTTAAAATTATGTTGCCTGAGCTCGGTGATTACCAGTCTGGTGCCGTTGCACAGCCGTCTGGTCGTGTCCAGGTTCTTCAGCAACATGACGATCGCGCCCACCTTCAGAGTCAACCTGTACGGCGGCAAGTTGTCCGCTTCCAGAGTGTTGAGAAACTCTACGGGAAAATTGGCCGCCTCGTCGTCGTCGTCGGCCACGACGGTGTCGGTGGCGGTGTACACCCTCTGCGACCCCGTCACTCGACTGCGGAGCACCTGATCGTTGATGTTCTTGCACTCGTCGTTTGTAACACACAAAACAATATGTTTAGCGTAATCGCGGACGTTGTCCAACGACATCGCCCGCGGGTAAACAAAGTCCAATAGAGACGCAAAAGATTCGCTTACCGCACCGGCCGGAATGGTCACGCGTTCCAGTCCGTCGTTGAGCGAGTCCGCGCCGAGCCGCAACAGCCAATCGGCGAAGGGCCGGTCGCCGTCGGCGCGCATGTTGCACTCAAGCGAGTATTTTTCCATCGAGACCCAATAAACACCGTGCCGTATGGTGGCCGAAACGATTTGGGCCCGCGAACCGCGCTTCACGATGGGCAACGTCTGTCTGAAGTCGCCGGCGAACAGCACGGGTTTGCCGCCGAAAGGCGTGTCCGGCACGTTCATGACGTCCCTGAGCAACCTGTCGGCGACCCGCAGCTGCGACGTGGGCGACATGGACGCCTCGTCCCAAACGATCAGCGAGGCGGCGCGCAGAGCCTGCGCTTTCCTCGATTGCATCGCCAGATACGACGGGTCTTCTTGATCGTGGGGCGCCACCCTCACGCCGAACGTAGAGTGAACCTGTAAGTAAACGCGTGGTGTTAGTGCGGAACGAAATAAACGCGAATCGCAATGGTCGCGCGTTAATTATGCAGAACAACACTTACGGTCTGTCCGCCCTGGATCAACGACGCGGCTATCCCGGTATAGGCCACGGAAATCACGGTCCCTCCGCGGCTCCGGATGGCCGAAATCAAACAGTTGTACAGGAAGGTCTTGCCGCAACCTCCGGCTCCGGAAACGTAGAACAACTTGGGCAATCGACGCCTGGTGTCGCCGACCGCCCGCATGACGCGATCGTATATCGTCCGCTGTTGTTCGTTCAGTCGACCGACCAACTCGGCGACGTCTGCCGCCGCCGTCGCGTTGTCGGCTGGCGCGGCGTCCGGTACTAACAGAGCGCGATCGGGCTCGGGTAAACCGTAACCCGCGAGCGTCTTGTTCGAAGCGGCCAGGTGACGTTCCACGGCGGCCAAACACATGGCTTCGGATGTGTCGCGGTCTGCGCGTCGTCTGAAGTAATCTTCCATCAGATTGTCCTGTAAACACAACGAACGATTAATAATTAAATTCATCGCTCTTGCCGTTATTGCGCGAGCCATAAAAGAAAAAACGAAACAAAACCGTCCCGCGTACTTTGAATAGATATTGTCAAATAATCATCATTATTATCGTCTAAAATGAAATATTTATAATAAATAAAAGCAATGAAATAAGCATGTCGTACACTGGTAGTGATTTGCATCGAGTTGATTCACACTTTGTTTTTTACCTCAACGTGTGAATACGCGCTTTAATAAACATTTTATGAATTTATATACGGGGATCAAACACTATTGAAGAAACCAATCGGCTATAACAATGAAAAAATATTTGTAATGAACACGTAAATTAATGTTACGATTATATCGAATCGACGTGGAAAATTTAAATTTGCCAGTCAATGATACATGGCATGAAAAGTCGCGGCGTTGCAACAGTATTGAATCTACATATTTTTCCCGTTGTCCTATTTATTTACTTATTGTTATTATCATCGTTATATGCGATCGATATTAATATGTTAATTGTAGCTATTAGTAAGAATATTATTAATAATAACGACAACAATAATAATTATAACAATTATTGTTATCGTTTTGTCCGCGGACAAACGGAATTTATAATTTTGAACTCGGATAGATATTCGTAAAATATTAATTATCCACATTAAAAGAACGCCGTCACCATGCGAAAAAAAAAACAAACAGTTAGAGTTATACCTTAAACTCGTCGTACAGTCTCGGCGGGTCGTTGGGCGAGCATTGCAGGAGTATCGTGACGAACAGACATCTCAACTGATGCGGCGTGTCGTGGACGGAAGCTTCTCGCATACAAGCCCTCCACGCGCGATCGTCTCGCAAGATGCCCAGAGCCGTCGCGGCCTCGGCGTAGGTGGGGTACACCGTGCCGTCGACCGTCCTCAGGTCCTCGAAACCGATCGGTCCCCTGCGGTACAGCAGCAACGTCCTCAGGTAGAAACGCTCCCTGTCGCAAGGACTGACCGCGTACATTCTCGCGATGTTCGGATACGCCTGGGCGCGTTGGCGCATACGCCAAGACTATTCCCTGCCGTCCCACACGTAGCAGTTGGGTATTTCGTGATACAGGTACCGCCTGGCGCCTGCGTCGTTCCTGTTCAGCTGGAAGAATTCCGTGAGCATCGTGCGCACCCCGGCGCTGAAGAGCACCGCGGGCGGCAGTTCGCCCTGTCGGAAATATACCGGTTCCCGGCCCTCGAGGTGAACCGGCAGTTTTACGACGGCGTGACTCTGCTTTTGAATTTCGTACTCGGCCAATCGCCAAAACGCCTCCGGCGGACTCACGTATCTCGTGTTCAAATAGCTGGAAAACAAAACGAAACGATCAAAATGCGAATATCAAATGTTTTGTCGTCGTCGTCGTACCTCTGTATTTCGTTGTTGTTCAACACCGCGAACGTGGCGGCGTCGTGGCCCTTGTACACGTACTTGTACAGATACATGACGCTCTTCACCGAAGAGCACACCTCCACGTTGATGTGAGCGTTGTACTTGGCCGTCAGATAGGGATTGTAAGGCACCACCCACTGACTGTCCAGGGTGGCCCGCCGCACTTCGACGGTACGACCGTTGTCGGGTCGCCTGTACTCGGGGTAACCGCCGTCGGCGCGGTAAACCGTTTCCTCGCAATACGGTTTCGGGTATTGCTTGGTACAGACGTTTTTCTCTTGGTCCCAACACGGCGACGTTCTGAAAAACACGCCGCACGGACCGTGCAACATGTGGGTCTTGACCAGACGGTGCAGCGTCGGTTGCGCGACGGGATCCGGTATGTCCGCTCGCACGATCCGGTCCACGTCTTCGGCCGAACGTATTTTAAACCGCTCGTCGAGAATGAGCAGTATGTGCGCGTGCGGCAGACCGCGCTTCTGAAACTCGACCGTGTAGACGTAAGCCGCCACGCGGCCGAAGACGTTCCTGCGCGTCAGATCGTCCATCAGCGCTTTGAGTTTGGCGTGAAACACGCGCGTAACCAAATCGGACCTGTCGATGTACGTCAACGCGTCCGACAGGTTGTCCGCGATCTCCGTCCACTTCGGGTTGCAGGTGAAAGTGATGAACAGATCGGGCTTGCCGTACGTCCGCACCAAGGCCATGGCGTCGTGATAACGTCTTTTCATGAACCTCACGCCGGCCGTGTGCGAAGCGGGCAGGATGACGCGGGACCCGACGTCGTTGTCCCTGGTCACGTCGTGTTGCCCGTTGATGTGATCCATCAGACCTTGGTAGGCCTCCACGAAAAAGTCCGACTGGTGCGCCTCGTAGTATTCGAACCGCTCCGATTCCATGCGCACGTAATAGTCGCACAGGAGCTGTTGAAACAGAAAACCGCCGGCGTGTAACGGGCTGAACCCGCCGTGACCGCCGCCGTCGTTGTTGCCCCCGTAACGGACGGCCAGACGATAGCACATGAACTCCCTGATGGACACGCGTTGCCTGTTGGTCGTTCTCCGCGCGCCCGTCTGTTCCATGTGTGGGTTCCATCCCCTTTCGCCGTTCGGAAAGAGCAGCGGGTATACCATCGGATCGATGTGTGGCGACCTCGTCGACAGCGTGCGCATCGCGGGTCCGGCCGTCGCGCGGTCGTAAACCGCGAAATCCACTTGCGCCGCGGCAAGCCGTTCTCGCCGGTGAACACCGCGGCGACTTCGTTGACGCGCGAGGCGTTGTAGCGCATCGGGTCGCTGTTGCGGTCTTCGATGAAGAACATGGTCACTCTTTGCGGTGCCTCTTCCGGCGGTCGTCGGGTCTCGTCGACCCACACCTCGTTCATATTCCTGCGAGAGACGAAAGATAACG